TCGATTTTTTTTTTGGGAGGGTCTGCTGGTGTGGGCGCTGCAGCCCCACTGGAGGGGCCGTTTTCAGACATGTAGATCTCGTGGTTGGCTGATGCGATTCCGATGCGGTTTGTTGTGTGGTATAGCTGTAAACCCAAGATAGAGGGCTGCAAGCTCGCTTTTTCGAGAGGAGCAACGGTCGCCTTGGGCGTGGAGCAAACAGCCCAAAAAACCATGTTTTTTGGTGTTGTTCGTCCGTCCTTTAACTTTAAGAGAAAACCGAGCTTACAGTCACCTCTATTGGACCTGTGTCCAGGTGTGTGTAACGCATGAAAAGCCATGCTGCTGTCTGGACGCAGAGCTGCCTGTACAACCAAATTGACTTGATGTATAGTTTATTCAGTATTAACAGCGGGATTCTCAAGAACCAAAATAAGAACCAAATCCGCGTGCCCCCCTCAAATATTGCCGAATGGACCGGACGTTTTTTGGCCCCAAATTCCGCCGCTTTAACACCCTTAACTGTACTAACGCGATAGTACAGCCCCCCATACTCTACTCAAAGTACGCTTTAGTATACTATCAGTCAAGTACCTGTTCTCATGATTTCTACCAAAGGGCGTGTTGGTGACGTCACTATTCGGCAGAAAATTGAACAGTCTCGCCATACAGTCTCGCTCCTGCGAGTGATCGTGGGCTCGTACTGGCGTGCTTGAGTACTGAGGGTATTGGTGTAGTGGCCCGCAGGGGAGGTGGTGGCAGCATGAGTAACGCGAGTGGTGGTTCGACCGCATCTCCCGGTGCGGGTGGTTCTCCCGGTACGGGTAGTCCCGCAACGGGTTCTTCACCACAAGACCAGGTGGTGGTCGTGGCGGGCTCTACGAACTCCTCTCCGTTCTTGTAGAAGATCGGCTCGGGACGCTTGAGGTTTACCGCCTGCTGTGGAGCTCCTCCACTCGTAGAGCCCGCCACGAGCACCACCTGGTGGGGCTCTGATTTGATTCTTATTTTTGAACACTCAATCGAGTGGGTGGATTGAGGATTCGTGCTCTATAGCGTTGGCGGTCTACAGTTAGTAGTGATTGTGATTGGTAAGGCGGAGAGGGAGGGTGCGAGGGAGCATCGAGGGGGGGGGGTTCATAACATTGGATGGTTGGCGTTGGAATCATGAGGGCGTACGCTTACATTCAGTTGTTCTCTCAGTATTGTCAGTACTGTGCTAAGCGTACTATTGCGTTTAGTAGGGCTTCCCATATTGTACTAAGCGTACTATAGCGTTTAGTACGGCTCTTCATACTGTACTAAGCGTACTAACACTTTAGTACAGCTCTCCATACTGTACTAGTCGTACTATTGCTTTTAGTAGGGCTTCCCATACTGTACTAAAAACAATTTTAGTACCGCTCTCCATACTGTACTAAACATACTGTTGCCTTTAGTACGGTTTTTCATACTGTACTGATACTAACCCCAGTACCGATTCTCGATACTGTACTAAACGTACTGTTGCGTTTAGTACGGCTCTCCATACTGTACTAAGCGTACTGCTGAGTTAGTACAGGGTCTCTGTACTGTACTCAGGTGAGTACAGTATTCATCTCTCACATACTGGACTGGTACTAACCTTAGTACGGATTCTCGATACTGTACTAAAAAAACTGTACTGTAACCGACCCTTGGTCACACTTTACTAAGCGTACTATTGCTTTTAGTAGGGCTTCCCATATTGTACTAGGCGTACTATAGCGTTTAGTACGGCTCTTCATACTGCTGTACTAAGCGTACTAACACTTTAGTACAACTCTCCATACTGTACTAATCGTACTATTGCTTTTAGTAGGGCTTTCCATACTGTACTAAAAACAATTTTAGTACCGCTCTCCATACTGTACTAAACATACTGTTGCTTTTAGTACGGTTTTTCATACTGTACTGATACTAACCCCAGTACCGATTCTCGATACTGTACTAAACGTACTGTTGCGTTAGTACGGCTCTCCATACTGTACAATTTTTCGATGAAGCACACAACAGGGTACCCAGGGTATTTGCTGGCCATATGCGCCTCTGCGTCTATACACAACAGGAATTCTTCCTTTGTTTAGCGCGGCAGGTGGAGCACTGCAATCACTATCATACCATCCTTCGTGGCGAGCGTCGTTCTGGGTACCGATCTCCGAGATCTCCGAGAGCCTGATTGGGTCAACACGAAGTTGCACTTGATTTGCACACCATCAGTCTCACCCACCTTCGTGGCGAGTTCAGCTCAGGCCTTACGCTCCCAGTAAGCCCCCCTCCGCCTCTCCGCCCCCCGGCCCAGAGAGAAGTTTTCGCTCCAGGCGTGGCGCTCTTGCGGCCGACGGGGCTTGTGGCGTGACCACCGCGGCCGCGGCCGCTTGGCCTCAGCACCGTCATCCCCCTAGGCGCCGGGGCAAAGGCGCTGCATGACGTTGTCCCGTAGGTCGCCAGCACGAGAGCTCCCGCGACCAGCGCGGTTTTGCGACTGGTGCAACTGCTGTGGCTTCCGCCATGCCTGTTGCTGATGGTGGTGGTTCCGCGAGCTCCCGTTGTTGTTGGAGACATTGTGCTTGCTGCTCCCGCTGTCAGGAAGCAGCTCATGATCATGCTTCCAAGTGTCAAATCCCGGTGACACAGCCAGGCAGGCTGTCGATATGATGTGGATGCCCGGATTTGCACTCTGTTGCTGCGAAATCCTAACTCTGATAGAAGGGGCCTGATATACACAGTAGTTCAGGCTGGGGATGTCACACAAGAGCAAGGCACAGACAGCACAGCAGACAGAAAAGGTGAGCTGTGAGCAGGTGAGGGTGAGCACACCGGGGGGTCACGCAGAGCGAAAACATACCCCCTTCGGTAGGGGCCCCCTCGACCGGTGGTCAGTGCCTACAGGCAGTATATTATGACTATATAAACAATCAAGCTTGATTGTTACTTCCTCTTTTCGGAATTATAAGCCCATTTGGAATATCGGAAATATAAGGTCGTTTTGGGAAGTACTCGAATACCGCGGTTCTTGAGCAGATCATCATCAGTATGTGTTCCGCACATCATTAGTACCATGTGCAAAAAAAAAAGAAGGAGGAGGGGATGGCGAGATATTGTCCCCGGCAAAAAACACCCCCCCACGCAAGATAACACCATCGGAAGAAAGTTTTTTTCTCTTTTTAGGTCCAGCACCAGCGGCACTCCCGCTGCTTATAGGGTCCGACATGGATAGGAGATGTGGAAGGGCGATCTACCCAATGCGTTCACCCCTCGCGGTCGCTACCCTCTGCGAGCTGTGTGAATGGGCTGGTTATCGCGGGGGTGTTTCATCGAATACCGCAACGGACCAAAAAACAAATGGTTCTAGAGGCTTGTCCGAATCGGCAGGAATTCTGCCGAATTTTTTTCTTGAGCAAAAATTTGTGGGAAGGTGTTGTATGGTCTTCGGGTTCTGCTGATGATGACCTATCAACCAATCCAATGCAGAGCGATGTGGCTCTACGCTAACGGTTCTTGTGCTAGGTTCGAGGTTCTTGTCAGTGGGTTGCTCTATGTCTCGGACGGTCGTCGCCGAAGATAATAGATCAAAGACTCGAAGACCGAGGATGATAGATGGTGCTTCGAAGAGGAAACTTTTTCGTTAATTCTGCTCGCTGCTGTACTCAACTCAAGCCGACCAACACTGCTGGTGCTGCTCGACCGTACTTCTGCACTCACTTGCTGGAACCAACCACCGCTTCGAACTCTGTCAACGCACTGGCAACCGGGTACTCAAGCTCGTCTTCTGCTCCTTGCCCTGGTAGACTCTCTCTTCTGAATTCATGAGCGGCAGCGCTCCTGCTGCTGCTGCTGCACAACATCCTTCACGTACGTCCACAGAAATATGCCAAACATTCCCTGATTCCGTCGCAAAGCGGGGACCGAACCCAAACATCCCCTGCAGCGAGCCTACTTCGTACCACATTCCCCCACACTTCCTTTTGAAATGGTGGAAAATTTTCATCATGTCCACAAGTAATCCACACCGTCATGATTTCCTTTGAGAGAATTTGGCATGTTGTTGTTGTTGTTGTCTTCACATTAAACCGTATGTCAGTTGCCAAATGCCAAAATCTAGCAAAAGACTCTCAGCCCGTGGTCACGAAAGTGCTAGAGCCATCTGAGGATCTAAAGAACACGCACACATATAACGAGAAAATGGTATCCAAGAGCCCGAAGAGGTACACCTCAAAATCCCTGCAGCACCTATGCGTGCCCAAAAACTGAACTGCACGTCCGTCCCACCGTTCGACTACAGTAGCATCACCCCCTCCCTGTCCCACCCTATACCAAAACGGAAGATTGCCGACTACAGCATACTGCTGTCTGAAGTGCTGTCTGTACAAAAACACCATGGTAGGCATGGAACAAGCAGCTGGCGGGGCACAAAGCTGCTGTCTGAAGTGCTGTCAGAATGTGTCTGCGGCCGTACAGTGAAAAAGAACAACCAACCAAAGCCATCATAGCAGCAATTGACAATCACCCGAATCTCTCCCGATCGTCTGTGTTAGGCACTGCAGTGAAAAATATCGACACTAGCTAAGAATCGTTCCACATTGAAGGGGTCTTCCACGATCAGGCACAAAACCAATGCACCCGGGTTAGCCACGCCATCTCTGACGGGTCTCTCTACAAAACCGGTGACGATGTTATCACACAAAACCAACACGGAAAGTCAGAAAAAAAACGAAAAAAATTGACAACACAGATAGAAATGTTTGTCCGTGCGCAACGGGTCGATGTCGCCCGCATGCTCCGGTGCCATTGCTCCATCCGGCGCCGCTGTAGTCAGCCCGAGCAAAACGCCACTCGACCTGCTCCGTCCGTACACGCTCTCGTTGCTGTCCTTCCCAGTCCGTTCCTCGCTTTCTCCCTCATTGCACTCAAGGTTCTTGGTCTGAAAAAAATAAAAATTCTCGCGCCGAATGGTCAACCAGCCTAGTTCAGCTCGTCGCCACCTGCTCCCTCCTCCTTTGATGGCGAAGCCAGGTTACTGAGGCAATACAGCTCCCTCTAGCAAACCTAGGGCCGTGTAGTGCCCGTCCACCTTTCTGATGGTGTCTGCCTCCGCGCACAAAAATGAGATGGGCATCACTGCCTACGCCGACGGCCAGAAAGGCCCGCGCATCTACATTTTCCCGCCTGACCCCATCAGTGCCGACCCAACTCCACCACCACACGCACGCCTCGCGGCGGATGCGCAGCAGCAAGAAGGTTTCGGTCATCCCTTGAGGGTGAGTCTAGCCCTGCTCGCCAGAAAGACCCCCCCCTTCGCTACAACCCATGTCTAAGCAAAAGCTTGTCGAGGAGCGAGGGGAAGAAGGGAGATGAAGGACTATTTTCTACATTGAAACTGGTATATTCTCGCTCGCGGCCGCTCTTATCTGGCGACAAAATTTATAACACATATCCTTCTTGAAAATGGCACAACAGTAGTACTCAAAAAGCCATGGAATTCGATATATCTTCAGCAGGTACCCGATGTTTAACTCCACGAGATCAAGCCTTCGTCAACCCTTCAGGCCCGAGGAACCCCACAAAAACCACCACACACAAATTCCAAGAGAATTTTTCATCCTACCATCTGCCGTCAAAACCCACTTTGCCCCGTACCGCGCTGTCGTGTTTTGGAAACGACAGCCGGCACCAACCTCAAAATCCCGGCTCAACAATCTATACCTGACTTGCTAGTACCCGATAACTACGAATGCTACTGAACGAAAGCATTTATTTTTGTTCCCGCAAGAAAGACGCCGTACTCACGCCACAGAAAGGCGGCAGCGAACCCCTGTGACTCCCCTCAATCGGACATTTGACTGTTGAAATCGGCACTACCCGACGGTGCAGACCGACCCCCCAAAGGACTCCCAACAACTAAATCAATCGCTTCACGTTGTTTTGTAACTCACACCCCAGCTTTATGAAGCTATGAAATCCACCCGAGACACGTACATCAACGATCCTTTGACCAATTTTCTCCCCACGCGTGTCTGATATACGCACTCTCCCAATGCAAGGCTGAAGCTGAAGCTGATTTTTTTTACATATGCACATCACATTGACAAGAATAAACATAGACACAGCACTTGACAAGGACAACAGCACTTTGAAATCGACAGAGCACATTTTCAGCTTCAGCTTCTTCAGCTTCCTTGCGGAACATTTATTATAGGAGAGCAGACCTTTGGCGGTCTTAAGGGGAAAAGCCACCATGAAAACGATATCATCGCGTTGAAAAAGAGCTCCAAATGTTTCCTGCCCGAAATTGGTAGAACCACAACGAAACACTGACCCCCTATCCTAGAAGTAAAGCACGACGACCTTCCCTTCGAGAACGCAAACACTCCCGGACATTCGCACCCGCAATGACCAAGGCACCAACGAAACAACCAGGAATTTGAACCGGAACTCCTCTAGGCGGGACAGCTCATCAATATTTTCAGTAAAATTGAAGTTTTACTGACCACAGGCTTTTTTTTTTTTTGAATGGCCTGTGCCTCTCCCCCCCATCCACCCGAAAAAGGACGGCACGTCGCTACCAAGACACCAGAGCCAAACAGCAACAACCGACACACCACACTGGAAAAAAAAAACATCATCGGCATCAGAAGGCAACACCGAAGACAAACAAACCGGAACACACCACACTTTAAAGGAATGCCCGCCCGACGGTGGCTTGCCTCCTAGATGTAGTAGATGTAGATTCTGCCGTAGACACTCTTGTCCACGAGCACGTTGAGATGGGAAGGTTGCTTGTTATTGCAGAAGCGGGTCTGCTACAGGTCTGAGGTGAGGCGGATTGCCCTCAACCTGGGGGCACGCAGATAGCTAAGTCCCGATGGGGTACGTCCTAAGAGGGTATACCTCCTGACGTCCCCCATCTTAATCTAGACCGACTGTGTACCCTATCTGTGCCATACAGCAACACTCCTTAACACTAGCCCACCCTGAAGATCATCTATACAGATTCTATACTCAAATCCTAAGGCTACTAATAGCTGATGATTTAGGATCATGAATCGAAAGATATGACTCTTCACAAGTGTATCCAAAGGAAAGAGGAGCTGTAGGAATATCCCGACTCGACCCCCCACACCACCATTGAGACAAAAGGTGATTCCGATGACGCGGAAACACAGCTAGTGGCAACTCAATGATAAGGTTATACCCATGGAGGGATATAGCTAGGCAAGATGTGCTGCAAAGCACCATGTTTTAACACAAAAAACAAAATAAATCAATATCAACGCCACACATCACTCTATTTCGCGCGCAAGCGCGTATTACGACTGGAGGAATGAGGGTGGCGACACAAGAGAGTCCAGAATTACTCCCGCAAAATTTAATGGGACAGGACGGCGGGCACACTACGGCTGAATGCGCTGACCACAAAGGTAAGACTGAAAGAACGTTCATGGCCAAAAC